GCTCTACCAGGTGAACTAACCGGGTGCCCTCAGCTAACATTTTTAAAAATGTGTAGCCGCAAAGCAGTTTGCTTTTGTTCACAATGCATCGACATGTCGACCCAGAGTTAAGAAGGCATACAGCAGGCGGACCGACAACGATGTGCAGGCATTGTTGATTTTATGGACACAAAATTCTGTGTAAAAACATCAGCGGACTAATCTTTGCGGGTTTTTAAACCGTGGTGGGAATGCAGACAACAATATGCTGAAGTTAGTTTTTTTTAAAGTAGTTGCTAGGACTAAAAGTTCCAGGAACTTTTGGTAGAAATGGGGCTATTCATAGGCAAGAGGGGTCATAAAAGTCCCCACTATCACACTGAGCAGTGTACTCATTGACACATGCTCTCTCTGTCCCTGCCCTTTTTTCATCACACTCTCTCCACCACTCAGAGATCTCCCTCTCTCCAGCCCTGCGATAAGACTCGAGCCAAAGATATAGCAGATGCCAGAGTGGGAAGAGAACGCCAGCAGGCACCGCAGTGATTTGCTATCAGCTCTGCAGCAGGACAGTGTGGAGTGTACAGTCTTTATTATCCAGCCAGCAGTCAGCTGTTGTTGTCTGGTGTATTATACATGTATGTGTGTGTATGTTTGCTGCCAAACACACATATTATACACACAGAGATCACACTGCATTCTTAAACATCAGTCAATTATTGTATGATTAATGAAACATGTTTATGTCTATAATATGTCAGAATTATTGCTCAATTATTCTTGTTTTGTCCGAGAAACAGTCTGCAATCTAAAAACATTACATGACAACATGATAATGTATAGAACATTTTGAAATTTTCCAAAAAAGAATAATGAGTGGTATAATTTAAGCTGACTGTCCTGACAAAAATCGACTCATTGCTACTCAAAGGGTACTAAGGTTAGATAAGACTGGGCTATCCTATATGTTTCTTATCGTTAACAAGTTATATGAAAAGTCCAAAACCAACAACTAAACTTCTCTACCGTGTAAACAAGCTCACTATGGCAGAAGATCTATCTATCTCTAAACCCCTGAGCCCTTTGATTCCTACTGATGACATAAATCTTTCAAAAAAGCTCAGCTTATCACATTAGCGAAAGCAGTAAACATTGAACCTGGGGACTATTTTTAGCTACGGATGAATCCACATTTGATGCACTGGTATTAGTAGTATTTCCAGCAGCAGGACGGTGAGTGCAGGACTGAGTCAAAATAAACTACAGTGTGTGTGTTCATGGTAATAATGGAACATTATGTCACACAGTGCAACAGTGTGGCTCACTTCTGTAAAATCCCACTAACCTGGTATTCTGACTGTAGCACCCCAGTGCCTGAGGAGGCCCCAGAGGGCCCAATCCGAGGCTTCTTGTTGGGGGGACCCTGGTCCTGGCCGTGTTGCATACCCCCGCCGGCAGTGCCCCCCGTGGCTCCGGCGGTGCCGTTGGTTTGGGCCGAGCTCTGCTGGGAGGGGGCCTGCTGGGCTGCTGTCTGCTGCTGGTTCTGGGCCTGAGTTTGGCCTGTCGTCTGCTGGTGCTGCTGGGTCTGGTTCTGCAGGTGGACACACAGGGCAACCGGTAAAAGCTTTGCAAAAGTGAGTGAGTGGCTGCAGAGAGTGGGGAGAGGTAATCCGATCAGTGTGTGAAATCATTTTGGTTAGTTGCTTGTAGTCTTTTTGTTCTGCCCTCTGTTTCCTCTGTCTACCCACCTGTAGGCTTTTCTTTTCTGATTCTGACCCACTTTCCCACTGACAGACTAAAATACAATGTAACTCTGCTAAACATCATTATTTTAAGAAAACATCTAAATAAAAGAAACTTGTAATGGACATGAAGAAAGACTAGACACCTGAAAAGATAGATAGGGTTTTAACAGGTTACATTTAAGACCTTTTTTAAGACTATTATGAATGAAATTTAAGACATATTTTATGTATAGTCATTTACTAGCAAAAAGTATGAAGGATATAAAAGAAAATCAGCATTGGTAACAGGACGGTCTTTTAAATATGTAACAGCTCACCAGATAGTGTCTATTACAGATCTAAAAACAGTTGTAAAAGCGTTTCAATGTACTTATTATTTTAGTATAAATGTACTGTTATATACCTACTATGTCACAACTTTCACTTCAGTCTGTAATGTAGCAGAGGCTCAGCAGTGTTGTCCTTGTTTGTTTCATTCAACATGTCGTCCATGTCCCATGTTGACTGAATTTCTGCCTTTTGTGTGTGAATACTGTGTCTAATGTGTAGGTATGTTATGACATAATACATCAAAGTTAACCAAGCCCCTCACACTGCTCAGATCAGGTGTTGATTCTCAGAAGTGACAAGGAGACATCTATCTCTGTCTCACTTTCCATTCAGATTGCACAACAGCAATCTGCTTTTTAAAACCATGCTGCTAGCATGGACCTGCTTTGGTAATGGGCTTTTTCTAGCACGCCACTCTCACTTCACTCTCCGTCTCTTGTAATGCAGCGATGACACACAATGACAGTGGTGCAAGAAGTATTCAGGTACAAATACAACAAGATACTCCATACAAGTAAAAGAAGTCCTTAAAGTCCCCAGTTTGGACACAAAATATATTTTTTAAGTGATTAAAATTTAAATCTATATTCAGATCTGAACAGCAACTCCTCGTCCTACTACAGTAAAATCAGTTTTGGCTTTAAAAGGAGCATAGATAGATATATCAGCTTACGTTTTCCACCAGAAACGGCTAACTGATGGCAAGGTAAAGCGGTAAAACTATTCTAAATATAGAATACTCCTAAACTGATGTTTGATTTTAGTAGGTGAACCTTTTTATGTAGCTAAAACACGTTGTGTTGCTGCCCCGGTCTACAGCAGTGCATCACTCTGCTTCCTTGGACTTTAGAAACAGTTTAATTTAGTGGTTCCTAAACTGGGGGTCAGGCCACTGCAAAGGGTCACAAGACAAATCTGTGGGTTGGTGAAATGTTGTGAAAAAGTTCTGCTACACACATTTGTTTAATTTTTTTAAACTTTTCTCTAATCTTTGCTGAAATACTTGAGAAGTTTCAAGGCAAAATGTCTCTTTGGTGGAACTGCTAACAACTCCAACACATCTGAAACATGACAAGGGGTCTCAACTCTCTACCAATGTGTTGTATTTTATAAATCCATCATATATTTTTTTATGTCAAATTGTAATCTGAAAAGTGACTAGTAACTAGAGTTGAGTGAGTACTCGGCTAAAAGGAGTACCCATACAGATAATGTACTTTTTACGATTTATATCGTATCGTAATAAAATTACGAATGACAAGTACCTCAAAAGAGTACTGGGTAAATGTACTTAGTAACTTTTCTTCACTGGGGCTCAGTCCTGCTGCAGTTTGTTTCTGTGTTTACAGTGTGTCCCTGCCTCAGGCAAAGTCAAAGCTGAATCCCCGTAGTGATTTATCACACGGTAATAATAGCTGAAAGAACCAGCAGAGACTTTTAACTCTAATGCACTGCAGGTTCCAGGCCTACTGTAACATCTGTTTAATATGTAACAAAACTTGCTCTTCTATCGGTGGAATGCAAAACTGTCCAGATGCATCTGGCACACTGAGATGATCAAACCATTGAAGCAATTTCTGTGCCATACTTGCAATATCACATAATGCCCTGGCAGTGCTAACATGAACTCTTTATTTTAAAGTGCTAAGAAGTTATGATAGAGTCCGGGAAGTCAGTTTTTCATCAAAATGCACATTTAGTGGCACTCTGTCATTCACCATCTCTCTCCCCCTCATTTCCTGTCATCTCCCTGCTGCCTGTTTTTTAAGGCTTAAAGTGGCAAAAAACAATTTTGCCACTTTAAGCCTTAAAAAATTAAGGCACTGTTCCAGTGTCCATTTTGTTTTTGCTGTTTACAATAAAAGCAATAAAACACAAACATCATGCAGCGTATTGTTTTATATCTTAACAGATCATCTGCTTTGTGGCATTTGTGCTGTACTGTTTTTACTGTACTGATAGACACTAATGTGAAAACATAGAAACATCAATGTTGTCCTTACCAACCACCATTGAGCTTGGATTTGAAGGAGCTTCCATTCTCCGATTTGGTAATATTAAACACTGTAGTGAGAAATGACTAGGGACCAATCAAATGCTGTACCAAACTGTACTAAAACACAACCAGGTGACCAGTGAACAGTGAAATATGTTTAAGAATGTGGATGCAGCCAATAGATCCGACTGCTCTGTTATTAGTGTCAGCCTCACACTGCAGTGGGGTTTGGAGCTTTTCTAATGCAGAGGTGTATCTAACTTTTAGATAAAGCACCTAACACTGTGTAGTTCCAGTTTTGAGTGATGCTTTCAAATGTCACTATGTAAACAATGTACATTTAAAATATTCAGTGTTTAGGTAGTGACAGAAAACATTTCAGCACATGTCTAATAATTGCTCCTTAAATCACATAAAATTAGATCCTGCAAACATTATTTTATCCTCTATTTAAAGTGACTTTTCATAAAGTTAAAAATCTCTAATAATAATTAAAAATGCATCTTGACTGCTATTGTATTGTCATAAAGGGTAGAAAGTGTCGATTTTAATACTGATTAAGTCATGTTTCCTTTTAAAATGAGGTCCCTTTGCAAGATATGGATTGTTAACATTAGCGGTAGTCTACAATATGCTGTACAGCTTTTCAAAGTCCAACACAGAGGTGTGTTATTTTTCATAACCACACAGGTTGGAATGTATTATTGTGTGGGCTATACTATAACATATATACATGTTTTCTATTAATATGATGGAGGTACCTTCCAAGAAATAGACTGACAACATTACAGATTGTCTACAATATGCTGTGCAGGTATTTAAAATATTGCCCAAAACAGAGGTGGGTTATTTTTCATAACCGCACAAGAGCTGTGTGGTTATCTGAAAATAATGCACATTGTCCAGAAATCAGTAGGCTATAAATCCAAGCAATCTACGCAAAACCTGGTGTGCATTATTTTTTGCACAAACAAATACAAATACAGTGTGTGTCTATATTCTGAAAGCTATTATAATGAAGTAAGGAAATGACATGGTGAAGTGGCCAGCTGACAAAATGATTTTCATGCTGTGAGTTGTTTTCAGCAGAACTGGATAATTACCTTTTCTGTCTTCTCTTCAGGCTCGTCTTCATTTAGAAACTCTCGTTTTGGGTAGGGGATCTGACACCCAGCGAAGACACTAGAGGCAATCAGAGAATCAGTGATTTCAATGTTTCTGCATTAACAAACTAAACCACTCTGATTCAACTGCATACCAACCAAAACACAGCCCCACCCCTCAAAACAAAAACAGATCAGGTAGGTCAAAAGCCTAAATAGCAAATTCCTCATACTTAAAGGAGTAAATCACTGTGGGCCTGTTTTTCTTGTGCTGAATCAAGACGAAGGAAAGCCTTTTGCAAAAGTTTATTAAGGCTTACTCAGTGGTTGGTAATGGGTCCTCCAGGAAGTACGGGTCCTGCAGTGCCTGCTCTGATGTGATTCTTTTGGTGGGGTCCATGGTGAGGAGTTTCTGGAGCTGAAGGCAGAGAGGAATAACACAGTGATACACGGTAGTGATGTTTTCATAGTTCTGGACGTTTAGCTTCAAAATGTGTTGGTGTGATGTTTATTTTCAGCAACAAGAAATTGTGTATCTACAAGATGGGCATTTCTACAAACAAATGATCAGGTTTAGTCATCACTCTTAGTATATCAAATTTGTCATACACACACAACTATTTCAGGTTTCTACGTGTTCTGTAGCTACAAAATTTCCAGATTTGTCAAAGCAGTGCAGATACCCTTTCCTTATAATGTGTGTGTCAGTGTTTGTACCTACCAACAGAAAAACTTTGCTGTCTGGTTTGACTTTATGCTTCTCCATGTATTTGATTAAGCTGCTGTTTGCGTACCTGTTATATGAGAAAACACAACAATATACATAAAGAATCTGTGATATGTATTTCATATTTTGTTTACATATTGGTATGTGAGTTTCTGATCACGGTCAGATCATCACATCATCCACTCACGTTGTTCTCCTGAAGTCTTTCTGCAGTGTTGGGTACTCTGGCATCTTCCTGATGTCCTCCCAGTCCTTATCTGTGGAATACAAAAAGACACAAATAAGCTTGTAGTTGTAAACACACAACTTTACCCAGTATATGTATGAGACTCATTGTTTAAATTTTTCTTTGTCAATTTTTACAGAAAACTTCTGGACATATATTACTATATATTACTATATAGGTCCTCCTGTGCTGTTGTTTCCACCAACCCGAACCTAGTGCTAGTGGCCTGGTGCTATTGCTGGTTCAGAGTTGGCTCAACTTGAGAACTTTCTGAGAACCGGTTTTCTTTTCCACGGGCTAGAGAGCCACCATCGAGCCACATCATTACATCACTGTATACGTGTCCATTAATGCTATTGTTACCCAGGTTTGCTAGCTGGCTAACTGGCTAACGTTCCTGGTCAAAAGCCAGCAAAACAAAAAGAATTTGATATATAAAAAGGTTTGATATTAGGCACCGGTTTCGAACCAGCCTTGGTGGAAGAGAGGTATAGAGAAGACACTAAAGTACATACACATAAACATGTAAACATAATTTTGTTTGTTTCCAAGAAACTTTGGCTGTAATTTACTTGACATTCATTTACGCAAATCCCCATTATATAAATGCAAAACAGTGGTTGACTCTGGTCCCCCACTGTTTCATCTAGTCATTTTATTGTAATTAGTGGATGATAATGCTCGTTTTCACGAAGATGATTCAGAATCTGTTTTCTTGTGTGTGCCTGTAGCAGTAGTTTTGTGTGTTGTGTGCAGACCTGCAGGGAAACCCATGACGCTGAATATCCTGTCCAGCTGGTCATGATGGAAGGGGTTACTGGTTTTGATGTCTTCTTGGCGACAGTGAAAGATGGGCTCGGACGTTAGCAGCTCCGCAAAGATGCAGCCAATTGCCCAGATATCTGGTGCATGTACACACACACACACAC